TTCCATTTTTGTAGTAATTTCGTTCCAAGCGTTATTCCTCTCCGTTGTAATATAATACCAGTTATGACTTTGTTGCCAGAGTTCTGGTTTCTGCGTGTACAAATCTATAAATTGCAAAAATATTTCATTATTCCAGTTCATATCTTTGCTGAGTTTTCAAAAATTGAGAAGAATTTAATCCATAAATTGAAGCTTAAAAATATTTAAAACAACCTGTGATATAATAGTGAAATAATCCTATCTTCATTAACACTTATACTCTGCACTCAACTCATCACATAATGGGCAAAGTAAAGGAGAGGAAACCTTACATAGGGACCACGGGTTCTCTTTGAAAAATATACATTCAAAGATGAATTCACTGCTTTTATCACATAGAATAGAGAACAGCAAAGAAGAGGAATCACTTAATGCAGATGGTGAGCACTGATTTAAAATATAAAAATACAATTTGATTGAACAAATTGTTAAAGATTAGAAATATTACAGATTCAAATAATATAAAAGCGATTGGTTTGCCTATAAAAGTTTAGAGTTTATAAGGGACAAAGCAAAAGTCCCAAAACAAGTGATCAATAATCAAATGAAAAAAATAATCAAACATCATCTGATTAGGAGGAAAATACATTGGACAATGAACCTTCTATTGAAAAATCTGTCACAATCAAGCCTGGAACTGTTAAATCTTTAGATACATTGTGAATCCAATTTGGATAATAATAAACTTAGAGGTAGTTCTGAAGTGGGACTCAAAAAACGGATCTTGAATCTCCGAAATCGAAAAAGTTAAAACGTGATGATGATATGATTTTTCAAATACAGCAGGATATGTTGAATCACGATGAATGTGACTTAACTGCGGAGATATTAGAATGAAATTGAAAATTTATATTAAACACACTCAGGTAGTATCATTTTAATAACATATTGTACACTGCTGATAAGGGGCAGTACAATACCAATACCATACAAACCAATAATTTGAATAGGTGATCAAGGACGTTTTCATCCTCCAGTCAACATCACCACATCACACTTGTATTAGAATAAATGAAAATATGTAATAGTTTTTTAACTCCGGTGTTATTCCTATAGTTATTCAATATTATAGAAACTAATTAATTTCAAATTCAAATGGAACTTAGACTTAGCATTCTCTATGTACTATTTTGTAACATATAGACAACCAAATATACATCTGCGTATGAATTTAGACTATGTTAATTAGAAAATAACCTGTATTTACAGTAATTGCAAGCCGTAAGTAAAAATAAATAAATGTGAATTCATTTTAATAGCTGTAAACTGTGTTTTAGATAATGTCCGACAGTAAAGAGGAGAACAAAGAGAAAATGAAGAGGGCAAATCAGAGCGACGAATACAAAGTTGAGTCCACTACAGAGGAGTTTGATAACAAAGATGATATTGAGCAGATTATAGTTAGTGACTCTGACTCCCCGAGACAGATAGACAGCACCACAAAAGAGGAAGAGCCAGAGGATTATGTGATTCCTAAAAAGGTGTTGCCCTGTCACAATGTACCAGAGAGAATTATAATTGTCTATGATCGGGCTGAGGATGAGGTGAGCACAAAATTTGAGCTTGGTGCACAGTCATTCACACCAGCAGATATGATCAAGAGAAGTTTGGAGTTCTTCCTGCACAACAAGAGTAGCATAGATAACAGACATCAGTTTGCTCTTGTTGTGCTGAATGAGAACAGTGTGGTCTGGGTTAAAGATTTCACACATGATGTTAAATCAATCATAACAACACTGCAAGATACACCCAATTGCCACACTGAGGACGTTCTAGTACTTGACAAATTGTTTGATCTGGTGAATTCGAAGAGCGAGCTGAGGAAGCTGGATACCGGGAATCTGGATGTGCCTCCGAAGTACGTTGTTAGGATTTTGTTCGTTTACGGTAGATCGTTCACGATGCCGCAAATCAAGAATCAGGACTTGAGGAAAGGAATCGTGGAGAATCCGTTCTTCACCTTCGACGTGATCATGACGCACGAGAAGCCGAACACCGATAACAACGCTGAGAGAATTTCCAAGTTCCTTCAGAACGTCGACACCAAAGGCTTTGCGTATTTCTTTCCTGTCGCCAGGAACGCGAAGGACTTGCATATCGCAATGGCCAAACTGTTAGGGCATCCGCTTCAGAGACCATGCCAGAAGGCTGCTAACTACTTCATAAACACATAATTTAACGTTTTAATTATTTTTAAGTTATTATATATCTGTTATTATCTTTATTTTTTAATATATTCAAAATATGTTTTGTTCTTAACAATCGGCGGAGTTCATTTATTCTAATACAAGTGGTGATGTTGATTGCAGCATAAACATGTCTTTGATCAGTTACTCAAATTATTGGTTTACATACTATAAAGCAGTGGTGGTCAATTTTTGTGTACATAAGATCTACTTTTTATCTTAAGAATCTGTCGTGATCGACTTGTCATAGGCCTAGTCTAAATGGGGGGAGGTGTGAAATACATATTTAATAACTTAATTTGTTTCACTCGTAACCACCCTTGATGGCATTGTACCCAATTGTACCGTCCCATGTCAGCTTTGTGCAATATTTTATTAGTTTTAGTATAATTTTTCAATTTCATTGCTATATGTTCGCCGTATATGTCACATTCATCGCGTTGTTCATCCTGCTTTGAATCATCTGAAACATTTGATACTCGATTACTCACTACATTTGCTTTGTCCCTTACTAAACTTTTATAGGCAAACCAATCGTTTTTATGTTCCTTATTTAAATCAGTAATATTCATAAACATTGCTCACCATCTGAACTAAGTGAATCCTCTCCTAAGCTTGTAGATGTTACAGGCAGTAAGTATGTCATTCAAAGGGATTTCCATATTTGTAGCAATTTCATTAAAAGCGTTATTCTTCTCCGTTGATATTCCTTGTTCATCATTAGGTTTTATCTTTTTCAATTTCGGAGATCCAAGATCCGTTTTTTGAGACCCACATCCTTCAGAACTACCTCCAAGTCTTGGATTAAGAACGTATCCGAAGTTTCAACTGTCCATCCTGCTTTGAATCATCTGAAACATTTGATACTTGATTACTCACTACATTTGCTTTGTCCCTTAGAAACTCTAAATTTTTATAGGAAAACCATTCGCTTTTATGTTCCTTATTTGAATCAGTAATATTCATAAACATTGCTCACCATCTGAACTAAGTGAATCCTCTTCTAAAGTTTGTAGATATTGCAGGCAGTATATCATTCAAAGGGATTTCCATATTTGTAGCAATTTCATTAAAAGCGTTATTCTTCTCCGTTAATCTTCCTTGTTCATCATTATGTTTTATCTATTTCGATTGCGTTTTTTGAGGGTCACATCCTTCAGAACTACCCCAAGTCTATTATTATTCAAATTGGATTAAGAACGTATCCGAAGTTTCAACTGTCCATCCTGCTGTGAATCATTTGAAACATTTGATACTTGATTACTCACATTTGCTTTGTCCCTTACTAAACTTTTATAGACAAACCAATCACTGTTATATGTGTTATTTGAATCTGTAATATTCATAATCTTTAACAATCTGTTCATTCATTTTAATGATTGCTAGTATTTGACGTTTGTTATTGTTATCTTCTTGTCCATATCTACATAAAGTAGGGTTTCCCTACGTAAAGTAAAGTTTCCCTACCGTTGCAGGAAGTTTGGAAAACCTCGATATAAAGTACAATATAAAAATACTGTATCAAATATAGAATTGGTTGATATTTACTGAAGCTCGAATAACATTGCCGTTCATCGACACATGCAGTTCAATAAAATTGGATGTATCATCATCGTTCCACTACATAATGTATTTAAAATTATGTAAATTTAATTCATAATTAGTAAACGTTTCGAGCGATGAAATAAAGTCCTCAATATTATCGTTTATATTGCTTAATTTTATTCATGTACATGTATATATATATATATTTATTGATTCTATATTTTGTTTGTATATCACAATCCCATAAGGGCATGAACTGTTTCATATCTTACATAAAACTAACAAATGGAGCAAAGAAAAAGAAAATAGTATAACAAAAAAAAAACGGAATAAGTATATAAAAAAATATTTCATATGTAATGCATATTTATTTTCAATAGAATGGAATCTAACTGAGGAGTTTCTTGTCGTACAGGAATTCTCCGAGAGCGCTGTGCTTGCTCATCATCTTGCCGAGGGTGGAAATCCTTCCGGCGATCTCGCGTTGACCCTTGTACTGTTCCTCGAGGAATTCGCCAGTCAAATAGTCGACAAGCTGCAAAAAAAAAAGCAAAACAAAACAGAAATTAGAGAAATGTTTATCAATTGGCAAAACGTAAATATTTGCGCGGCCTTGACGCCAAGTCGCAATAACAGTTCTGGATTGATTATAGTGCATTTTTTTTTTGTTTTCTCTACTTACATGGTAATCGTTGAATCTCTCGTCATCCTCGCAAACCTTGACGACGTCGCGAATTTTCTTGGTGACGGAAGCTTCCAAAGCGAGGGCATCCTTCAAGGCTTCCATACCGCTGGCCCAGGTGGTCGCAGCCGGGGTGTACTGAAAATTTTAAAGATACAAGTTATTTGGTTTTGTTGATTTTCAGTTGAATTAAGCTTACCTTCTTCTTGATAAGGTTGCTGACGTCCTGCCTCAGCTCACCCCTCATCAACAAGTAGCTGATGAGCTTGATGGCATGGTCCCTCTCTTCGGAAGCGGACTCGAAGAACATTTTAGCGAATCCGGGCCTGTTGATCTGGTAGTCGGAGAAGTGGGCACCCATGGCGAGGTACTGCATGGAGGCCTTAAGTTCCTCACCGATTTGCTGCTTGACCTTGTCAACGCAGGACTCCTGCATATCCTTCCATTGCATCGGCATATCCAATGGGGTTTGATTACCTGAAGAAAATTGAAACAAAAGTTATAAATATAATAATAATAAATCGACATCAAGGTTGGCTGAAGCCATCTTGTTTGTTGTTCGATGAGACAAACTTACATTGCATGGCTGCAGAGGATGCAGCGATGGCACACGCGAAAAGCGCAATTGCTAACATGGACTTCATGTTGTCAGTTAGGGATGACGATCTGTAATGCTGTTGCACGCTTAGTAGTCGGGTAGTATTTCGTAGTCAGCCTTTACACTCACTGGTGCAGAAGGTGACTGTATTGGGCACTTATTACGGGGTACAACTGAAACCTATCGTATTTGCGCACTCGATAAATATCCCAGTTGTCCGCTCTCGACTTCTGGAACTCTCCCACCACAGCTGACTCGACAATTTCCTTTGTGTTTTCTGCATTTCAAATGCGCACTTGAGGAACAGCGCATGACCCGCGGCCCCCCTGGATCCTCTCTTTTTATGTGCGCGTAGTAACCGACCCATCGTCATATTTCGTGATTACGCTGGCGAGATACCAGGTTCGTTTCTACTAAAGACCGAATAGCATATTCTGTTATATATACTCAACAAACCACTCTGAAATAATTAACGACACTTCTTTTAATTCGCTCTTGCAGGGATCATGAAGGTATTTGTCGCTCTTTCCGTGCTCTGCGTAGCCATCGCTACTGCCCAAGCTGAATACAACCAATATTGTTACCAAAGTGTAGCGAAGGCTTGCGTCTCCACCAGCAAGTCTGAAGGTCAGTGCATATTTATATTTTGTTTACTGCGACTCAACACAATGATTTGTTGTTTTCTTTCTATACTTTCTACACAATTATTTAATTAATTAATTTGTTTTTTTCGTCTTCTCCAGGTAAAATAGATTGTAGCGCCCGCTATGGAGGAATCGACGGCGTCCTGTCCGACCTCCAAAAGTACGTCAACACTCATATCACCCGTTCCTACGAGTTCCTCCTGATGTCCACCCACTACGCCAACTACGAGAAGAACCGTGCCGGATTCGAGAAACTCCTCCGCGGATACTCCGACGAAAAGTGGAACAACGCCATCGAGCTGATCAAGTACATCAGCAAGCGCGGCGGTCGCATGGACTTCAACAAAGTCAAACTGTTCAACAAGACCGAAGACTACAACGTCGTCTACGAGATGAACGAGATCGAGACCTTGGCTATGGCCCTCGACATCGAGAAGGACATGGCTCACGATGCCAACAAGATCCACAGCGAGGCATCGCACAAGAACAACGATCATTACGATCCGGAGGTCCTCCAGTACATCGAGGAGGAGTTCGCCGAGAGGCAGGCCGAGAGCATCCGCACACTTGCAGGACACACCACCGACCTGAAGAAACTCCTCAGCGGACCGGACAGCTCTTTGGCCCTTTACCTCTTCGACGAAATGTTGCAGAAATAGGAACATTATTAACAACTCTCTTTTTTTTTGTCTGTTCTTAATACATTTAATAATTCCATAAATAAAAAAAATGTTAAGTAATGTGATCAGTATATGTTATTATTTTCTTTCTGTTCCAATATTATATAGATTATTATATTTTGTCACAATGTACATAAACAAATAAATAAAAAAAAACAATTTTCTACTGCGAAATTTGCTGTTTCCTTAATGCTACAAGTCAAAGGTTATCGTATGCACAGTTGCAATAATATTTACTCACGCCATTAAAACTGCCACAAACAAAAATAGATCCTCTGGATATGCACAGAACGCAAACAGCAAAAGCACAAAGAAACCCAAAATATACCGAAATTCCTCTACCTAAATATAGATTCTAAAATAAACTTAAGAACAATACAAATTACTATTTTTATTAACTCATCACAAAACAAATCTTTAAATAAAGGTACTTTTAATGTACTTTGTCCACCTTAAAACTAATTAGAAAATTACAGTTGTCCCAATTTATTTTTATATAATGAAACAACATTTTTTTGCAAATGCATTATATAAATATTATTTATTTACGTTTCTAAACCAGTTTGGTTTTTAAACATTCTAAAATTCGATAAAAAATATGCATATAATAACGAAATGTAGACTTTTCTAGAAGATAAATAAACTATTATTGAATTATACTTCAGCAAATATTATTAATTACATCATTTCTACGCACAGGAAATAATCTTGTAGTTGTTTGTGTACAATAAAGTTACGTCTTCAATTGGAAATAATCTTTAAAGCAACAACAATTTGTAAATAACATCATATTTTGTTCCAATACACTCAACTTGTCACTGTAGTTATTCCCATTAAAAAACTTATCTTCAATTTAGAAATCGTTTCAGAAATTTAACACAAAAAAAGACTAATAAAAAATGTACAGTATGAAATTATATTTCAATTCAACAAAGCACATTTCTTTAAACAAAAAATCTGCGTCATGTTTTGTTAATTTGCATACAAAAATGTAGATGATGAAATACTGTAAAATATGCGTCAAGATTTCAGCTGAAAAAAAACCTTTTCCAATCGAATTACACATTATTCTTTGCGCAATGTTACGTCATGGATGGACGCGTATGCGTTAAATCAATCGCAGACGTATACGAAAATATTGATAATCCGATGTTGATTTTCCAAAAAATAATCCTGAAAATGTTCCAGAACTGAACTGTTATCATAAACCGCGTGATAAAGTTACATAGAAGTACCATTGCAATTGTTTTGCTGAGTCATCGGAGAGCGCGTGATATTGTCAGGTCTGCACACGATTTTCCAATTGATCCGATGCTCAGGAAGCGCTCAAACTTTTGCACACGCCGTAGTAAATAAACACATTGGAGGAACAACATTAGGAATTATGGTGTATTGTGAGGCCGTCAATTTTGCACACGGCCAGAATCTATGCGCACGGTCTAGACCTGGTGCAACGGACTGTTTGATTACATATTCACATGAATGAAACAACAACAATATCTTTGTTTGGACTCAATTTGTATACGATTATTTCGTGTTTGTCTTTAGCAAACATTAACGGTTTTCGGTTTCAATTACAGAAGGATTCCCTTATGTTTAGATAATTGCGCAATTCATCTAAACTATTACGTCAGGACTACTATATTTTGTTGTTGTAAATTTGTAACTTTAAGAGAAAGTGCAACTCAAAATTGAATCTTTTAATAACTGTGCGGAAATCCAATCCAATCAGTAAAACTCGTTTAGTAAGCAAATAATGGGTTTAACTAGCTACATTATCAAACAAAGCGATTCAAATTGAAGTTCAAATAACAATTACGCTATTGTTTGTTATAAGAATCAGCTGCTCCGACTGAAATCTGTATATTTTTTTCTTTTTGTATACCGTGGGAACTTTATTTTCGACGCATATTTTCTACCTGTTCATTTCATTGTTCTCTGAACTGAAGCAGGTGCATTTTTCAATTATAATCCGGATTTAGAGCGTTTCATGTGATATAATTGAATGTCTACATCAATTATAATCCGAATTTAGACCATTAAATTTAAATGTTTTCAAAAGATACAACAAATTTGTCTTCAGTTATACAATTTTGAAACGCATTTAAAGTAAATGAAAGAAAGTCGAAAATTTGTAGAAAATTATCGACATTTTTTAAAATTTTAAACGACAACAATTTACAGTGTTTTATGTGATATAATTGAATGTCTTCAAAGCTACATCAATTATAATCCGAATTTAGACCATTAAATTTAAATGTTTTCAAAAGATACGAATTTGTCTTCAGTTAATTTGATCAAAAATAACAGTTTCAAATCTCATGTAATTATTGCTGATTTATACAATTTTGAAACGCATTTAAAGTAAATGAAAGAAAATCGAAAATTTGTATTGAATTATCCACATTTTTTAAATATTAAACGATAACAATTTACAGAGTTTTATGTGATATAATTGAATGTCTACATCAATTATAATCGGAATTTAGACCATTAAATTTAATTTTTTTCAAAATATACAACAAATTTGTCTCAGTTCAAGTTGAACAACAATAACAGTTTCAAATCTCATGTAATTATAGCTGATTTATACAATTTTGAAACGCATTTAAAGTAAATGAAAGAATGTCGTAAATTTGTATTGAATTATCCACATTTGTTAAATTTTAAACGATTACAATTTACAGCGTTTTATGTGTTAAAATTGAATGTCTTCAAAGCTACATCAATTATAATCCGAATTTAGACCATTAAATTTAAATGTTTTCAACAGATACAACAAATTTGTCTTCAATTCAATTGAACAACAATAACAGTTTCAAATCTCATGTAATTATAGCTGATTTATCTATTTTTGAAACGCATTTAAAGTAAATGAAAGAAAGTCTAAAATTTGTATTGAATTATCCACATTTTTTTAATTTTAAACGACAACAATTTACAGAGTTTTATGTGATATAATTGAATGTCTACATCAATTATAATCGGAATTTAGACCATTAAATTTAAATGTTTTCAAAAGATACAACAAATTTGTCTTCAGTTCAAATTGAACAACAATAACAGTTTCAAATCTCATGTAATTATAGCTGATTTATACAATTTTGAAACACATTTAAAGTAAATTAAAGAAAGTCGAAAATTTGTATTGAATTATCCATTTTTTTTTAAATTTTAAAACGTTTTATGTGATATAATTGAATGTCTTCAAAGCTACATCAATTATAATCCGAATTTAGACCATTACATTTAAATGTTTTCAAAAGATACAACAAATTTGTCTTTAGTTCAATTGATCAACAATAACAGTTTCAAATCTCATATAATTTTAGCTGATTTTGAAATGCATTTAAAGTAAATGAAAGAATGTCGAAAATTTGTATTGAATTATCGACATTTTTTAAATTTTAAACGACAACAATTTCTCCCGATTGTTTGATAAATACGTGTATGATTGCATTTAGTTAGATAAAACTATACGTGACTTCATAAACTACACGATTGTTGTGACACTTGTGTTTTCATTACAAAATCTTTTTTCGATTTTTTTTTTCATATTGAAGCAATTTCAAAATAATTAATAAAGTTTTAAACACAAAAAATGTAATTAATAACAGTTCGTCAACATAATTAATGTAGATTCATAATCATTGAAAGCAAATTTCCTTGTCTATTCTTAATTTATTACATAAACAATTCATTGAGTAAATTGTTTATTTTTATTTGTTTAAGTGGAACACCGAGCAAAAGCTTATAATAATATTATGCTGCCGTGTCCCGGGATTCAAATATCTCTGGACACTGTGGAATATCTCGTAGTTATGTTGTTGTAGTGAAGATTTTAAGGAATACGCTTTGTTATTCACTAGAAGATTATCAATAACTTATATGTCTAGATTCCAATTCCTAGGTTTGTTACTAGGGTTTTTATGAGTCTAACTAGGACTCGGGAGGACTCTCCTCTAAGACTAAAACTAACTTGGACTAGCGACTAGCTAGGACTAGGACTTGGACTCTTTAGGACTCTCCTGTATTACGTAAACATCCTATTATATAGTAAGGGAAGATAGTACCTAACATTCCCTAATAATTAAGTGATTAGGCAGATGCACATTCTTGATTGATCCTTTGAGTTTGTGCATAACATGTTGATTAACAATAGTGATTAAGAATAGTCGTTACACAATGATTAGTTATGGGATCTTTCTAAGTAGTAATTGTACTAAGTCATAATTACTTATTTACATTCACATGTATAAAATAATAAGGGTTAACATAATATAAACAATAACAATTATACATAACAAAGCAAGTGCTGCTAAATATAATTACAAAGTTATTAACCGAAATTTTTAAGTTTATAACCTTTCACACTTTTTTTTGAAATATTTTAGTTCAGAATTGTTCGAGACGATAACTGTAGACGGATTTTCTTTATCTTACACGTTACAAATACGTGTATTTTTAAACGAAATTCCTTACCCAATATACACAATTAATTTTTATCAATTTTAAGTTCAATCATTTAGAAATAAATAGAAGAATAATTGTCAATTACAGCTAAATGACAAAAGATACAGCAATATCAGTAGACACGTTTTAAAGAGTGAATATTTAGCTTTAATTTGGTTACTCAACAATGAATTTGAAGCTCATACTTTTCGAGATATATGCATAAATGTATTAACTTCAAGTAATTAATTGATGATAATGAACTGAGTCACATTGGGGAAAATTCAAGTTTTTTTAGCAAACAAATATTAAAAGTAAAGCCATGTTGATGCAATGATTAAAAATAAGATAAAAGTGACAATAATTTACAACATAGGAAATTTTTAAGTACTGTATTTGAAAAAAAAACAACAAAATTTTATTGAACATAATTCAATTTTATAGCTTTACAATCAATTGATTTTGTGTTTTTTTTTTGCAATTTAATTGCAATAAAGTAAAAGATTATAATTGTAATTGTATTGTATGAATATTTGCTGAAATTGTCGTTCCATGAGAGATTCCTCTGTGTGTTTGCATGGAAATTTATCGACGGCTGTGAAAAAGCAGGGCGAGGTCCAAGTACAAACTCTGATTGCCAGAGAAAACATAGCGGATCTATTTCAATTCGATTGAGAATTATTATTGTTGCTCCGAATAGGAGCATTATCTGCCGCGGAAATTTCACCTTCGCCTCAATCAGAAAAACATATTTTTTTTTGTTAATACAATTAAATATATAAAATAATAATTTTTATCTGTCCCAATTTACGGTTCGATAAATAAACTAATAAAGGGATTGACGTACGTAAGAGATGAGATGAGACACGTTATGTTATATTATTGTAATTTCCGTGTTCGCTTTAAGGAATAATTCATCAATCAACAAGACGAAACTCTTTGTTCTGGTGCATGAAGTGATGATAAATATTTAGTGATGATAGCGTGGGTGTATTTGTAACAGAAACTGATTGTTAACAAATTATACACAGTTTTTGAAATACAATGTACTATTTCTGGTTTGAATTAACTATAGAAATTGATTAGTAATCAGTGGTAGTTATCAAGATAAGCAATTGCCATTGTTTGTTCATTATTGTGTCTATTGTAATTTTTCCTGAAATTTTCGTTTTCTGAAACAGCAACAACGTGGGTTTTTCGTTGTCTCAATTGTCCGATAAAGACGTGCACGATTGCATACGGTTAGATAAAAAAAACTATAGGTGACTTCGACAAAACTAAAACACGTTTGATCTAAAACCGATTGAGAACTCATCTCAGATAATCGCCGTAAATCTCTCCTGGCAACCGAAACTTATCTCTCTTACATGTGTCCTTTCATGCAAACGCCCGATTTCAATCGGAGATAAATGCCTTTACTTAAGCTGTTAAGTAAGCATGGTAATCATTGTTTCTTCCGTCCGACGATAAGACCAATGGATATTCCATTGGGAAGTACCAAAGTTCAAATGAATTGTTGTATCTACATTGCATTTGCAACTATATTATGTTTTTGCCGTTAACATTTCGATCGCAGTTGCGTTAAACGTCTCCTCGCTTATGTGTAAATAAGGTCAAGGGTCAATTTACGTTCAATAAAGTTATTAAGATAATCCGAAGGAATGGAACTCGGTAAACATCTTGCGCCCTATTTGTTAACTTCGCGAAGACGCATTGCTCAATATCTATAGGAAGAACGTGTACGAATTATAGAAATTCTGCGAATTATACGACTTAGTCATTTGTTGTATAACAAAGAAACATTGAATCATGCTTTAATTAAAAATTTTAATTAAATGTTGTCGGACAAAACAACAGTTTTAAAGTTATTTGTATTTAATTAAAGATTGTTGTTTTTTTCAATAAAATTGTGTTAAATATATCCTTTGTTTAAGTCCGCAAACATGATTGCAATAAATTACATTTATTTGTTGTATGCAACCAAATGTTCTTTATTATTGATTAACTGTATTGTTTGGAATAATTTCGTTAAGATTCTAGAACGTCTGGAGACAGCAGTAAAACGTTCAACTTATACATAAAACCAGAAATTTCGTCATGAAAACATTTCTTTGTTGACTAAGATCATTAAACTTAACTAATCTCTTTATATTTAATCTGAACTTCAGAAATGCAAACATTTAAAGTGTAAATGAACCTATGAATCCTTGATTTTCAATGAATAGAAGAAATCAAGCAAGATTTGAGATTTCTATATGAATTTGTAAAAGGTTATTTTTTTTTGGAAAAATTTCGAATTCAAGTTTTGTTGTATATTATAAAATAATATTCCATTTTTAATGTATCTCTAATACATGCACATACATCGTTCCACAATGAGTAATGAAGAAAAGAAAGAAAATAACGTAAACAGACGGACAAAACCCAGTTGAAAGAATATCATTTCACACCCAAAATTGTTTTTCAATTAGGTTCATGTTCCATTCACTATTTACAAATAAATACGATAAATTAGTTCTTTAGGTATATAGAATATAATACAGATATACAGTGAGTTAAATTGCACAGCCAGTATGGTAGAAGATTCGTTACAAAATCAGTTGCTCCAGCGCCTTGTCCCTGTCGTTGTCGCACTTGAGGAGCGCCTCTGAGACCTTCTCTTCGGCAAAACCCAAATCTAATAGTTCGCTCATAGCCAGCTGATGATCCAATATCTGAAATTTAATTACATTTTCGAAATTATTCTCATTTACAAATAGTAGTAAAAACGTTATATATTAGTGTAAGATTGTACTAATATTTGCATTACCTTTTTCTCGTCAAGTCCTATACTTTTACAAGCTCTTGCAACGCGGGCTATAGGAAAACCCATGCCGCTGATGACCTGGCAAGCGGTTTGGAGCTCTTTCGACAGCGTCTCGAAGGGATTCTCCAGGTGCGTTTCTGGATTTGGCGTGGGGTTATTAGTTTTGGAATGTCCGGCAACGGGATGATTGATGTGTGTACTGTTTAGGTCCTCCTGCAGAGCCCTGATGATGTCCGGGGCGCTGCGGAACGACTCCTTCTCGTGGCTCTGCGGTGTAGGCGCATCGAAGCTGCTGCTGAGATAGCTGTTCGGTTGGAGTAGCTGCTGCGGCTTATAGAAGTAACCGTTCTCGCAAGTGGTGGTGGTCGCGGTTGTCGAGGGATGGTAATTGGTTGAGGAATGGGCAGTGTAGCTGAACAGATTCGACTCGTGACTAGGATGAGTCGTGTAATTCTTCTGTTCGTTCTGCAGCACCAGCTTCAGCTCCTCCATGTCGTTGATCGTTTTCAGCTCCATGTTATCAAATGGACTGGAATCGGGCTCGAAATCGGAGATATTGAATGGACTCTTGTCATTGTCTTTAGACGTGTAGTTCTGATTGCTCAATGGTATCGGCGTTAGGATGCTGCTGCTGCTGTTGACTTGAGTAGGAATAAGTACACCGCCACTAGTATAATTCTCATGGTTATTGTTGCTGTTCAACTCTTTGATTCTCTCCTTCTTCTCCTCCATCTTCTTTCTGCGAACAGATTTAAGTCTTTCTAGTCTCTCCTGGGAATTTAAGTATTGGGAATTGCGAGCGGCCCTCAGCTCCTGCATCTTCTCCTTCGAGGACATCTCCAGCTTGAAGTTATACTGCGGCATGTTGTTCAGCAACTGGTTATTCAAACTGATCCTCTGGGTGGATGTCATAGCCAGGTTTATCTTCGGAGGAGGCTTATACTTCTCCGATATTTTCACCCTCACCCCATCTGAACAACTACCCTGTGTATCCTGACTGTGTTTATGAGCCATCTCTACAACACAAAACAAAATAGTTTTTAAGAAAACAGCAAATCTTAATTTCTTGTCCTTGAGACAATTAACACAATGGAATTTTTTTACTACTCCTGCTTTTTTTCTTACAAAACAAAACTAAACTTATATTTAATCTGTGAGCAGTATAATTGATATTTATATAAGATTACAAATACTACAATTAACAAAGAATTCTGCAAGGATGAAGCAAAAATCTCAACTACCTGCTCAAGTCTCCTCTTCAGTATTTCCTAGATTTGGTTCGGTGTGCAATGCGAGTTTATTACATATTGGAAAGACGCGACTCTACCATATTTCCCCTCGTTGGATCTTGCACCTTTCTTGCCAGGAATCGAAAGTACACTTTCTGTTAATATTTACTAGATCACTGCTGTTTTAGCTTGTGTCATTTCAATGAAAGGATAAATCATACATAGCAATGTCCAATCTAGTACTTTTCATTTCCATTACGTTGGCAAGTCTACATTTAAATACTACATATCACAGACTAATCAAACAAACCTCTCATTAAATCGAAATGCAACAATTAACTCTTATCTTATCTATACTTACATATAAATAATATTTATTTAGAGCCAACACATCTAATATAGGCAACCAAACTTACACATTTTTATTATTTCCAATGTTATAAAACTAATAAACTCATATTAACTATAATAAAATTTAATAAAAATATTATTTATGAAATTATTATAGTTTTGTGAAACTTTTATAGTTGTAATTAATAAGTAAAGTATATAATATAAATTGTTTAGCAGTAAAGTTTCTCTTCTGATCTTTTGAGGAAACATCTGTTTCTATAGAAATCATCTGTTAGTATCCAATAACATTTGGTGTCGAGTATTTACTTTTTGTTTTTACATTCTTTCTCACACGTTGAAACATTTAAAATTTTGTCCCACGAAATGAAATTCCATTTGGTTTTCAAAATAGTTTTTATAATTGAACACTATCAAATGTATAATAACTATAGAATTATTTCAAAATACTTGAGAATTGGAAGGAATATTAAAAGTTATGAATCATGTTAAATTATTATGAATTGCTGGATTGATGGATGCATGAAATAATTGGAGAAAGTTGTATAATATTATGAATTGAGAAGTTGTTGGAAGATGGAACGAGATGTTAAATGTGAATTGGTTGAAATAACTTTATTATAAATAAACATGAAATCATATGGATGCAGCAGGTGACATAATATGGGCGGATGATGAGGAGAGAGACAAAGTTTGGTTACTTGTGTGGCTGGTGGTGAGGAGGTTGGCAGACCTTGCATCCGAATTGACAGTAGGAAGCAGTAGGAAGTTTGACAGTCCTGACAACTTTTGTTGCTGTTTTTTCTTATTCCCTTGATTACATTTAATTAAAGTGCCCAATTTAACGCAGCCATAAATGAATTTAATTGGCCGTTTCATCAAATGTGGAATGCGCATTAGGTTAAGTATGCTGGGATAGCGATAACGAAGATAATTGTAGCCGCAACAACACGCCAAGGAAGAAAAGAAGGCGAAAGAGAAGAGACGAAAAAAAAAGAAGGGAAAAGAAAATTAACGAAAAAAAAAAAAAAAGAACACACAAGAAGGAAGACGAATTCGCATATACGCAGAGGGCATCGCGTGTGAGAGAGGATTTATTTTGTGTTTTTGGGAAGAGAGGAACTGCCAGTGCCACACAGAGATATTCCAAAAAAAAAAAGAGGAGGATGACAGAGTACAAGTTAGTTGTGGTGGGGGCTGGAGGTGTAGGGAAGTCTGCACTCACGATACAGCTGATACAGAACCACTTTGTGGATGAGTATGACCCTACCATCGAGGACTCCTACAGGAAGCAGGTGGTGATCGACGGTGAGACCTGCCTGCTGGACATCCTGGACACAGCTGGTCAAGAGGAGTATAGTGCAATGAGAGACCAGTACATGAGAACAGGTGAAGGTTTCCTATTAGTATTCGCTGTGAACTCGGCAAAGAGCTTTGAAGACATTGGCACATACAGGGAACAAATCAAGAGGGTCAAGGATGCTGAAGAGGTACCCATGGTCCTCGTCGGAAACAAATGTGATCTTTCTACTTGGGCTGTTGATATGACACAAGCTAGAGAAGTAAGCATTTACTATTTATATATTTATTAATTTTTTTTTTGATGTGTGAGATGATTCATTGAAATACTAATTTTTGCGCGCGCGTTTTGTAGGTGGCTAAACAATACGGGGTGCCCTTTGTAGAAACGTCGGCGAAGACGAGAATGGGCGTCGATGACGCCTTCTACACCTTAGTGAGGGAAATCCGTAAAGACAAAGCGAGTAAAGGTAAAAGGTCGCACAAGTTCGTTAACGTCCGTGGCCGAGGTCCATTTCAATTTAAATGCTCCATCCTATAGATTTCGGAATAATTATAATAATAATTAAGCAAAATATTACAAACAAAAAAAAAATAATATGAAGAAGAAGAAGATGAAGGAAACAAGTTATGAATATAATAATCATAAATAAAATTAAACAAACAAAAATATATATATATATACGATGGTCAACGCACATACATCATTAAAACAAACAAAAAAACAAGTATATTAAAACTGAAACAAAGTAAATTATGAAATGCAGAGATACAAAATTAAGTTGTAAATACATATTATATAGATTGTATGTGAATGATGTTACTTGGAGCGATGCAATACTATTAATTTTTTTTGTCCTTCTCTCCTTGCAGCAGATCCAATTTATTTTTACTTTCTTGTTGTTGTATTGCGCGGATTTCCTTTGTTCGGTTCTCTTGTACATTATTGCAACGCTCCCTGTAATAGATATATATATATAATATATATATTTTTAAATATTTATACTCCGCGTTTTACTTTATTTCTTTTCATATACTTACTATAATTTTCCTTTAAAAAAAACAACAACAACAACAACAAAAGAAGAGTTTTCTTTGATTCTCTGTGACTGTTTGCAAGAGCAGATTAAGTACGTTATGTAATTGATATGTGTGTATGCGCGCACTCGTGCACGGGATATGCCTTTTTACTGAGCTTATGAGAATTGTAGTCTTCTTTGCACATTTTTAATCGTGATTGCCTTTTCGACGGCCCATTTCAATTATCGCGTATACGAGTGCGCGGATACATGTATTTATAATATAGATATTTAAACAAACAAACAAAAAAATGATAGTAAAAGTTAAAATTTAAAGGAAAAAAATATACGTATTTTCTTATGGGATTGGGAGGTGTTAATTACGTGGTTTTCGTGTTAAAAAAATAATTGCATAAAGAGGAAATAAAATTTGTTAGCAATAAGTGTGATGATGGATGACAGATGAAATCCAGCAGGTTGAATTTTGAAAGAACTTATTTTTGTTTGTGGTGCCAAAAAAAAAAAAGGAAACATGTTGTGGGAGTTAAACACTTTTCGTTGCTGTTGAATTCATGTGTAATATATAATATATATATATATATATAAACGATTATTATAATAATAATATATAGTCCGCTGCGAAAACTGAACTCTGTGCCTTTTCTGATTATTTCTATCTGGTTTTTCTAAAAGGAACACATATTCTAAATGTAATTGGTGATGAAACAAGCAAAAAAAAATAAGAGTAAATAAATGTAATGTTTCTTTCGTAGAGGTCATTCTTCCATTAACAGACAAAAAAAAAATAAAGACTCAGGAAAATGAAAGGAAATAGCAGTTTGTTGTTCATAGTTAAAACGGTTGAGATAAATGTATTATTTTGTAGACAGTTGTAAAAAAGCGCACATCAATTTACGTGCACACGTCTCGTCTCTATTTTGTGAACTATTCCTATCTTAATGTACTTCTATTGTTCTTTGTAAACTACTACTGTTAATACTACTACTACCACCACCATTTTCGTTTCGCGTCCCCTCTTACGATAGAATATTTTTCCTTCTTTAAATCTTAAGAGTATTTTTGTATGTCGATGATGATGAAGAAAACCCTGATGTGTTTTTTTCGTGTTTGTTAGCGTTGTTAATTAAAAAGGCTGTCCCAGGACGTTACGACCTCTCATTTCTTTTTTCCATCCAACTTTGTCTTTTATGTCATTCATACGTACACTCGCAGGTATTGTTTTTTTAAAATGAAGCTGCGAATTGAATTCTCGTAACGACTGGAAGTGGAAGGACAAACAAAAAAAAAAGCTTAATATATTGATAAAGAAACAGATGAAAATCAAATATGTGTGTGTGTGTAGATAGCATTTGGCAGAAGACAACTCTCTCTAAAGTGGAGATCTTAAATTATTGAATACACAAATGAAACCAGTGAAATAACTCCTCTAATTGAGACTTTTCTTAATGTTAATTAATACTAATATAGTTATAATTTGCCTTCATATGAATATATATATATATATAAATAAAATTTAAAAAAATATATTGTAGCCATTTAGTTATTATTATATATTGATGAAAAAAAAAAAACGCAAAGCAAAACTATGTCTTACTAATAAACTCTTTTTCTCTTAATCATAAATAATAATAATAAAAAAAAAAGAAACAAATGTTAAATATTATCAAATTGCATATCATTTTTCCTAAATAAATTATTTGAAATTATCCACAGGTGCATTGAATTCCTCTCTCTCTCTCTCACACACTATCTTTTGTATTGTTTTCTCACGAACACATCACAGTTGCATTTTGGGTTTATTGTAAATAATTTCACGTTGTTTTTTGTCATTTTTTGTCTTTTTTGTTGTTGTTTCCATTTTGTGTGTTTTTTTTTTATTTCAGTTAATAATATAATCGTCATAATAAACTTAATCAAATGAATAAAAACAAATCACTAATTCGTTCATCGTCCAAACGTCCTTCATCCTCCTCTTCCTCTCCTATATGTGCACCAAAAAAAATAATAATATAATATAATAATAAATTTAAAAACCTAGCAATAAGTAAAAAATGAAAAACAATTATCGTTTGATTAAACAGAATCACGTCGTAAGTAAAGGCCACGAAATCACGTCGAGATTATTTTCTTTTTTAAATAATTAAAAAAAAATTAAAAATATTCATATATATTTTTTATATCTAAATCGATAAACAGATTCTCTGGGTGTCCTGTCCTTTTGTTTTTTTCTTTTTCTTTACTCTCTTCCTTTATGGAATTAGGAGCGGTTTGAAATATTGCCGACAATAGACGGAGCCCAAGGACAGAGGTCCGTCCTGGATTCCGTAAAGTTTAGCGCTGCGGTCAGGTATGCGCGAATAAGCCGAAGAGTATTCCTTGTCGAAGACGTTCAGGTCTATCGAGGATCTTCCTATCGCTTTGCAGGTGAGGAACAGGATGTCTCTGTAGATGGACCGATTCGTGTTTATCGAGATGCACCTGTCCTCCTGCGATCTCAACGTTTTCTGTCGCTCCGAAGCCAACTTCTTCATGGGATCCGAGAGGTCGTTGCAATGCACCGAATTGACGACGCCTTGCATGAATCTACAACCATCAACAATGTTTCATTAGATATTTTAGTTGTAAGGATCATTATTTTCAGTGTTATACCTCATGGTGTTGTTCTGCTCAGTCGATTGATAGAGCACGTACATGTGTGGTTTATCACCGTGCAGCCGAGGATCATCCCACATACATCGCACACTCACCGAGGCCACCAAATGCTCTGCGAAATATAACAAAGGCAAAGATAAAAACGTGATTACATTTCAAAAACTACTATCATTACTCAAACATTCAATACAAAGTATAAAATAATAGTTACGTCCTTGAAATCTAAGCGGTAAGTATTCTAAAGTCTTGAACTATTCAAACTATTATAAATACTTAATAATACAAACGGTAAGTATATTCAGAAAAAAACTGTGTTCCAATATACTACAAACTTACGTGGTTCCTCTTTAACAGCGGCTTGTAATATTAGTAAACATTAAGATGGATCAAAGTTGAAAGTGACATAAACTTACCTAATGTGGCAAGTTCTAGCGTGAGCGGATCCGATCCTTCCTCGACGGGTTGCATCAATCCGGAGACTTCTTCGCTACTCGCGTCCTTCTCACCATCCTCTTCGCTCTTCCTCTCCTTGCTAACAGTCTTGGTATTCGATTTGCTCTTCAAGCAGAGATTGGGTAGGTGAGTTTGGACGTTGATGCGATCGAAGACCCACACCAGATTCCAATAAATGATTGGATGCTCCTCGACGAACTTCGCCTCGGCCAGACTGAGGTCGCCTTCCTGTATGAGGATGTTTTCGAGCTCCTTTCGCAGGACGAGAGGGTTAAGATACGGCACGCTGAACGGCTCCGAAGTATCCGTGTCTTTTTGCGTTATGGTTATCGTTAGAAGAGGAACCGTGGCCTTCTTGCACACGTGGCATTGCGTGTTAAGGTTGGAGTCTTCCGCAGACCAATTGGACATAATATCCTCGTCGTAAAGCAACGATAAACAGTTGTGGCATTGCGAACAGGACGTCAGGACTATGTCCATCTCGCTATCAGCAGTTACATCGCTCGGGACTGGGAATAAACTGTCGGGAAGAAAATCGCAGTCCTTTAAGTTCGCGTAGCTTCCGCGGTAGCTACTGCATTCTGCAGAGATCTTCCGATGACGCTCTCCTCCCTCGCTACCATCGGTGGATTCTCCTTCAATTCCCTCGGGAACATCTCCGGCTGCCATACGGTCTGCAACCTTCACCGGCGTCGAGTTTGTCGACGTGGAGGAAATCGCCTCCTTTATCTCGTCAAGCTTCATCCAGTTTGCCATGGATGAGGCGGCGGACTTTAGGGAGCTAATTCCGCCTTGGATCAACTCGTTCGACTTCTTTCCAGTCAGACTACTCGGACTGTAGGAAGACGAGAAATTACTGCGTGTTCAGAGCAGTGTCATTAGTTATTTAAGCACATCGAGACAACAATTAGCGTGTTTTTTTTTTGTATGTATCATATATGTAATGAGAAACGTACCTCAAATTATTAATGGCATTTTCGAGAATTTGCTGCGACATTTTCAGGTCTGCCTTGCGTATGGACAATCTAGCTGGTGAGTAACGGCTAAAAGAACAATTCTAGGCTACTACGAGATGCTACGTGCAACATAATATTTCAAATAATAATAAACACTCAGCAACAACTACAAAACTTTCAATATTGATTCAAATCAAATTTATAATTTCTTTAAACATTCCTAAACATGATCAAATGAGGATTGGTCATGTTTGGGAAGTATTTAGTTATCATTAATTTGTACTGAAATAAAATGATAAGTTGTTGAGTGTATAAAAGAAATTAAAATAATCGTATATAATAAGCTTGAAACATGCTCGAATTTGTGATTTGCAAAGCTGCTGTGATGCGACTTTCGTCGACTTACCCGAAATTCATTTTGAAGCTAGAACCTAGACTTGCGAGGCTTGAGGCCACAGTCGCTGCTGGTACCGTTTCGGAACGGTGAATTTTACTTTGAGCTGGTGGACTGCCTTCGAAAGTCGCGGATCTTTGGACAGAATTCCTGAATAGGATGGGTTCATCGGAGGGCATTGCAAAGGACGGTGGAGTTGTTGCAGTCGATTCGGGAGGCGGCGTGATCGTAGGCGGCGTCGGCTCCTCATCATTCAACGCTCCAAGTGGATCGTTTTCAGTGACCACGGTTCTCGGAGATGTCCTGATTGCAAGTATATTATTAATAAGAGTGATGAATATTAGTTTCGTTTGAAACTTACTTGCTGGGTGAGCTTTTTTCGTCTTTCTCGAAAGCTTCGTCTCCGTTGAACTGAAGCGTCCTGGAGCAGGTCTTCTTGTTTTGCTGGAGTTTGTCGATGATCAAAGCGTCTCCTGCGCTTTCTGAACGTGAGAGTATTCTTGGATTCTCGGATGGACTCTCGGGCGGGGTGAAGGCCACGTGGATTGCGTCTATATTCTCCTGGCTATCGACCTCCTCGGATTCCGATTGAACGTTGGACACTGTCGAGTCCGTTTGTTCGGATCCACCGTTCGTAGCACCTTTGACGATGCTCACGAAGCACTTCTTGTACATCCTCTCGAGTGTACCACCATCACCTTGAATAGCTTCGTGCGAGTCCAGCGATGAGCGAGATGCCACTCTGTCGCTCGGATCCAGGAAGGTTTGCGATCCTTCGATGGACGCCGATTGTCTGCGCGTGGCGTGTCTCCTACCAGCGCGTCGGAATCGAGCAGCTCCCAACACCACGTACCTCAGTTTGTTCCATAGCAAAACACTCGAACTTGACTGGGCAGGCCATTCAGCCTCCAGAACACACCGATTGTACAATCCGTAGGTCAAGGCATTGGGTTGGATGCCGGCCCGTTTCATGAGGAACAGCAGTTTCACAGCCAACAGTGGTTTCGAGTATTCCCCGCACAATTGCATCATCAGTCTATAACAAACCTCGTCGCAGGAAAGTTCCTGCTGCGTCGCTCTCACCAAAAGCTCGTAGGCCTGCTGCAGGACGGCACACTCCTTACCTATACTCAGCGACAGCAGACTGGGCAACGCCATGAAGTAAAGAGTATAGCAGGTTCCACTCAAGCACCTCGCCCACAGTTCCGGATGCTTCATATATTTTCTATAAGAAAAAAAAACAAATTTAGTTACTATAAATCAAACATTAAATACAACTTCAGTACTTTGCGTGTTTCGCTAATTTTTGAGCAGATTTGATCTCGTGCTTCGTCCGTCTCGCCATTGGAGATCCCGGTGCCATGGACTGATACAAGGACGACAAATGGTTCCTCTGCTTTCCGGTATTCGTTAACAGCATTGGATCCAAAATAAATTCATTGTAAAAATATGAAGCGTCTGTATAAAATAAACAATCATAAGTTAATTAAAGAATAAATGTTTTCATTATAGTACGAACCTGGCTTCACTGGGTCGGGTGGTAGCAAAAATACAGTCCTCTCGCTTTTATGTCCACCTCCTTCGATTTCCAACAATTTAATGTTCTCATCGTCGTGCGACAATCGCTCAGTGCATTCATCGAAGAAGGCCAAACCCTGATCACCGTCAGCCACGAAGCTGCGTTCCTCGATGAAGCGAATGAACATCTGCGTGTGCATCAGCAGCGAAAAGAACTTATGATGAGCCTTGTCGCGCGACTTCAAGAACTCGTTCAGCTTGAAGAGGGCCTGCGGATCAGTCGTGCCGACGGTCGGCGCTTTTATAATGGGCAACAGGTACGACCTGTATCCCTTCAGGGTCATAGCCATGAACCTCAGGAAAGCTTCCTGGATCTCCAGCTCTTCGACTCTTTCTTTGCGGCGCTTCTGGAATTGCGTCTCCCAATCGCCATCCGCTTGATTGTTGTTGACCCGACTGTTACGCATCAAATTGGCATAGAGTTCTTCCAGCGTGGTCCTCAACATTTTCGCTGCTCTCTTCGGCAGCAGCTTCACGTTTAGGATATTTTTCTGCGCTTCGCTCACCTGCAAACGAAGCATTATCAATGGATCAAATTACATAAAATATTATAGTTATTAATTAAATCACATACAGTAATGGTGTTCGTGTCGAGATCCACGCAGCTGACATCGACAGGTGGATCGTAGAGGTCGAAAAAGCGGGAGTCTACGCCGATTAAGAAAGGCAGAGGTGCGTGTAATACCTCGACCAAACCTGAAATTTAATATCTGTTATTGATATGCCACAATTGCATTACGAATCGAATTAATTTTTATGAATATCTCTTTAAATATCATTCAAGACTATGATTTAAATCGAAAGTTCGCGAATGCTACAAATGAAGCTTAACAAGAAAATTATTGATATTACTAGTAAATAATATTGTGAAAAACCTACCTAATGGACATAGTGGAATGTAGGGGCATTGCCATTTGAATGGGAATAGGAGAGAGGACACAGCTTCGGCGACGGCTGTGAGCGTGTCCGGTCTGAGGGAGTGAATTAATATTTTTTGTTCGGTCAGTGCTAGCAGCAGTAGTTGCAGACTGTTTTCCGGGCCGAGGTTGACCAACAGGTGTTTGAAGCCTGCCGCGCTTCTGGGCAGAGGCAGATCTTCAGGTTGGGTCATGATCACTCGGTTGGATTGGCAATCGGCGGTCAGTTGCAGAAGAGTGTGAGGTGCTGGGAACGGCACTTCATCCAGCAATTGCACGATGTACCGTTCGATGGGAATAGTTTGGGGATCACCGCTAGCGGCAATTTTCTGCAATCAGAACAAACATTAAAAATCATCAAACAAAATACATTTGCGTTTGACTCACGTATAAGAATGTGAGCCATTGCTCGAAGGTGTCCGAGAATGGGAAATGGGATAAGATGCAGATGCACTTGTTCGTGTGCAGCGAGAATCCCGAATCCGGTGTATACTTGAGTAGTTCAGCTTCCTTTTCGGTGAGCCGATCGTCGGGGACTTTCTCGTAGAACGTGACTGCTGAGCCGTAGACCTTATGCTTCGCATCGGATACGGTGAGTACGAAGGTGCTGAAGACTGGCTTAGGTTTGGAGGTTTCGTCGGGCCACACTTCCAGACTAGCGCCCATCGGGAGGCAGAACAGGGGAACGGAATTCGGGAACGGAAAATGGTCCAGGTCTCCCATTGGATACCTGCTGATCACCGACGGATTGTACGTGAGCAATCGCGATCGGTTCATGGACTTTTTGTAGCAGAGAAACACGTCGCTACCAATCAGGCCCTTATTGAGATTTTTATCCAGGCAGCAGAAGGCGTGAGGCGGGGATTCACCCTGACTTGCGACGACAACGCAGATGTCCGTCACGACCAGCGCATTGCACGGCATCGTCGTCGTTCCTCTACGATATGTAATGAAAGTCTGTGCAGTCGAATTGTTCACGTTGGCCACTCGTCCTCCGAAACTGGTCTTCACCACTTCCGCATCTTCCATCAGATATTCCTTGCCATCATACATGACACCTGAAACGCACATATATAAGACAGTATTTTTATGCATCTAATAACGAGAGATAATTTAATTATATTTGCATACTCCAATGCATCACTTCATCTTTAATTCATATCAAAACCTCGGCGTTATTCAATACACAAGAATGCATAGGCGGAAACTACCTTGATTTTGCAACAAAAAAAGAGAACATTAATTGGAATGGAAATAATGGAATTAAATCTGTAACGACGATGAAATGACTTGCATGATTAGGGTCTATTAGAAATATGATTTCCTATAGATACAAGGCTATTTAACCAGGCAGAAAATCGCGTTGAAGAAATCACAAACTATAAGATGTTTGTCAAATCAATTTCTAATGAAAATACTATTAATGAACAAGTCTTTGTTGTTGTTATATAAATAAGTCTCTAAAGTCAAAACAACCATATAGTAGACACAATTATAATCATAGACTTGTTAATATCTCACACACGGCAATTCCTCGTGTTTGTTTTTTTACAAACGTGAAAGAAATCAATTTGATATACAAACTATGGTATAAAAATAAGAAATACAACGTTCGATATTCTTGTAAATTATGAATCAACAATTTCCATTAATAATTGAATCTTAATTACTCTATAAATTATTAATAATTATCGAACACAACGTTGCTGCGAAGTTCAGAAAATCATATATATATATATATGATTATATAAATTTTATATAAATTAAATCCAACAAAGATATAGTTATTTTTGTGAATGTTGACCATTGAACCCAATAAAAGTAAGAATTCAAAGAAGTAATCAATCACTTGTAATTATGCATGTTGTCTTTATAGCATGGAAAACAAATTAAGTATGGTAATAAACGTTTGGAAATGGTTTGTACTGAAGATCTATTTATCATGTTTATCGTAGAGCTTCCTGGAATGCAACAACACCAGATAATTCTGTAAAAGTTGTTTATGATAAAAACACTGTTTAGATTAATGATCTGAATATAAAAAAAAAACTAGGTTTACTAGAGCAGTTGCTTATTTAATTCGTTTCCCTATGGAAATAGGAAAGTTTAATCAATAGAGAGCATGTCCTTATTTGGTTGATGAAAGTACCATCAAACTTACAACTCTTATAATTTATTGATTCATGAAACCACTGTATAACTTGTAATAATAGATTAAGAAAGTGTTATAAGCACTGGATTATCATAATTAATCAAATGGGCTTATAACATTAGCAGTGACATGTTATTAAGATCACTATATTAGAAACTAGGAATAATCAATTTCTGATTTACATATTAAATCTGCATATTCTCTAAACATTAGTGGGTAGATGTAAATATTTTCATAATTAAATGTACTAATATGAAAATAAACATATTGGAAAATACAAAGTCATTAACCTTTTGCAATCATGTTTACATTTATGCTGTGATCAATGCAGATTATTTGAAAGCACTTTCAAAAACATGTTTGTTTTGATTGAAAAGTGCTTGTTGTTTGAAATAAAGAATGTCAGTGGAAGAGATTATTGAAATATGCAAATGCAACAAAATAATAACTGATTTGGCTGAATTGCAATTGTGGCTCAACCGCAGTAATTGTTAATAATTATGCAATTGCAAAATGTGTAACAATGTTTAATTTCAGTAATAATATAACTAAATCACTCACCGATATCAACCAATGGGGGCTTATCACGTCCTCTACGAAAACACAAATAACACTTGATGCTCCTGTAGCTGCCATGATTGAGATCAGCCAGGATTCCCGTGGGTGTTCTTTCAATCATTTCATAGTCCTCAGGCACTGTTTCACCAAGTGTTGGGAACACTACACCGATGTCTGTGATGGGGGCCTGATTGTAGCCGCTCTTGAAGTTGCTGCTGTCAGTCAGAGTGGTGTCATCTAGGAGATCAGTTTCCTCCGTGAGACCAGCCACCACAAAGTAATCAGCAACCCTGCGTTCATCCATCTTTACACTGTTTTTTTGTATCAGGAGAGGAAATTAGTTTGTTCTGTTCCAAGGTCTGCTTGATCTCATGTAAGGCACATTGTAGCTGAAACAAAGGAGAATCAGTTGTGTGTCTCCATGGTTGGACTGATTTTGAATGCCAATTGCGAATCTCGTCTTTATTATTATTATTATTCTTACCTGAGCAGCAGCAGCAGCAGCCAAAAAAACGAAAGAAAACAACTACGTATGAGTCATGCACCGAATCTACGTTGAAACTTCTTCGGTTCTTGAGTGGTCGTTTCTTGGGACGTTTTTCTCTTCTCTTTTCTTTGCTTCTCTCTCGTTGGCTACTCTCCAATCCACCTGTGTTCCTTGCTTCACCACCGAAACTTCGCCTTGATCTACATAATAATTCAGGTGTTCGACGAAGTCGTTTTATGCATTATCAATTCTTTCTCGATCTTCCTCTCCTCCGCAACCAAAATAATTTGATCGTACGACTTGGTGTTTGTGGATAGTGTTTTGGATTGACGTTACGATTATCACGTCCAGCACTTCTTCATCCAACGCATAGATGGTACTAAACATGTTACCAACATGCACACGGATTTAGATCTGGTCCATCCACGCACACAGCTTGAAGACAAAACGGTCTATTACGTAACGCTGTTGTTTATCTGGGATTAGTTAATTTATATTTGCAGTATAAATAAATAGAATCAATGTCAGCTCTGTCCATCCAGTTGCATAACTTAATACTTCCACGTTTGAATTTTCAAAACCTGTTTTCCTTGTTATCAATAATTATATAATTAACATATACTGATACAATATTCAATAATTATCAACATTTATATTGATTAAAACCCTTTACCAATGTATTATTTTTAATTAAATCAATATTTTAATAGTAATTATTTTCTAATTAACTGCTAAATAAGTTGCCTATATTAAACTGCAACTTTTGTATTTATTATAATTTACTAATTAAATAATTAGCTTAAATTAGAAAAAAAACACAAAAGATTAATTATAAATTATAATTTTAGCAAACAATACAACAATAAACAAAAATGTGATAAATTATACTAATAAATATATTAACTTTTGTAATTTATTTAATATATAAAGTAAACTATTAAAATATTTTTGTGTTTGGATTAGTTTAATTTATTGCATTAATCTTTCTTTGTAAATTAAGCTTAGATAATTTAGTTACTTTAAGCCCAATTTGAAAATTAAACGATAAAATTTTATAGTGTAATAAACTGTGTAACAGAGTAGATTTTTTACTTTAAATAATTTAAATTGTAAATATATTCAAGCTTAAGAAATTCATTATTTCAGAGATTGATTTAATGAAAATTAAATTTGTAATTAGTAAAGAATACTTACACGACACGTTTAATTGTATGTATCACAGATGACTTGATGATTGATACTAAAGCGAGTTACAGATGGAATTTACTATGCGCTTATCATCGCAGATAAACGTGGAGATAGGTTTGTTAGTATTTACAGTTCCAATGAAGTCATACGCAGCAACCTGTACATAGTCATTTTCATGAATATAATGAGGAATAAAAAGTGTAAATCTACTTGGAAAGAAATGATTCAATGATCCTTCCGGTCGAATCATTTCCCAGCCTGCTGCTTCTGATAAGATAACTTTGCATGCAATTACATTCTACTTCCATGGCAACACGTAAGTAGTAAATAAATAGATGTGTGTTTAATTTACAAATATCGTTTTATTGTCGCATCACCAATGATCTTGTTGATTCTTGTTTTTTGTTTCTGTTTCGCAGTTCTTCATATCTTCATCATCCATCGTTTTGAGGCTCGGCGAGATCAGATCAGCGCGGACCACGAATAAAATGGATTGTTAATGTAAAAGATTTATTCAATATTTAATGTCGTGTGTGACTATATACTACATTCATTAATACTTTTTTTGTCCTCCAATAAAAATGAAACAGCGTTTAACATCTCATAATATATAATAATTACAATCATAATAAATATCGGTTCCATAACAAAAACAATTTCATCATCATCATCATCATCGTCGTCGTCGTATCATGTATTTTTTTCCTTTCCAATTCACTTATTTTCTTTCTTTCTTACCTTTACTTATACAATAATAGTAATAATAATAATAATCTTTATCATCTATGTTTAGTGATTATCATCGTTTATCGCATCAATAGAGTTAAATGATTCCGTTCTGTGAAAGAGTTTACAGAGTGTGTGTTGTGTTTTGTGTGTGTATGTGTTTTTCTTCCTCCTTCTTTCTTTCTTGGAGACCGTACAATACACCATAGTCCTCCTTGGATCAATAACAAGTAACAGGTTTACAATTCTTCCGGTACCATTTTGAGCAGGGCCATCTTCTTCTTCGCCACCTTCGAGATGAGAATGTCTATGGGCTTTGTGCTGTCGTACAACGAAGGCGCCTTGAAAATAATCATAGCGGTGCCGATCACGCAAGCCAACGTGAATATCCATAGGAAGAGTCTGTCCAGCACCATCGCGACGTACTTCCAATCTTCTTCTACCTTTAAAATTACAAATAAGATATGAATTTAGTTATTATTAAAGAATTTAAAGTAAAATTTACTTACATTTTCAAATTTGTCTTTGTTTTTTACATGTTGAGCAATAAATTTGGAATCGGCTATCGTCTTCTCCATGTCGTGCAAGGCTACCATCTTGTCGTACGAGGGGCTTCCGTCGCTGATGCCTTCGAGGGTGTTCGTCCTGCAGCTGGCAGGACTGTAGAGTTCGTCGTCACCACCGGAGAGCGGCATCGCTGGAAACGGTGGTTCCCCGAAGCAGGGCCCCATTCCACCGGAGGCCGCCACATCGAACCTGGACGGTGGCGGAATGCCTAGGTCGAAGGAGCTGTCGAAGGAGCTCTTGCACTTGTCCAGCATCGACGGGACGTGTATGACATCCGTGAGGACGCTCTCCGAGCCTTTGTTGTCGTCCTCGTCGTCGTCCTTCTGCGGACGTTCGATGAATAGGAATTTAGGAAGCACACCGATGAAGAAGTACCGCACCCACGGTGCGAGCTTGTGCGTGACCGGCGACCGGAAGTTCACGTTGAGCACGGCTATCGTGATGACCACGGAGAGCGTGCAGAGCAGCATCGTGAAGAGCAGGTACTTGCCCAGCAGAGGCACCGTGATCGAGGTGGGTGGAATGATCTCCACCAGCAGTAGGAAGAACACAGTAAGGGAGAGTAGGATGGAGATGGAGAGCGAGACCTTCTCGCCCGAATCGGATGGTAGGTAGAAGACTAGAATGGATAGGAAGGAGATGCCGACGCACGGGATGATCAGGTTCACTGTGTAGAACAGCGTCTTCCTTCGCAGCGTGATGTTGAAGATGATATCCGGGTACGGTTCCTCGCAACAACTGTAAAACTTCTCGTTGCGCTGCGCCGGCACCCGCATTATGTCCCATTCCACTGATATGTAGTAGTCCTGCAGGTCTATCCCCACGGCTATCTCGTTCGAATCCTGCGTCTGGGATAAATGCCTCAAATCAACCTAAAACACAATAAAATCAACATCATCAGTCAATAGTGAAGAAGTATTCAAATATACAATAGTTAAGAAGCATTCAAATGTGAAAATTGATGAGAAAAATTGTCACAAATGAAGATTAATTGAATATAAATAAGTACATCAATTGATAAAAGAAAATTCTATCAATTATTTAATTCATTTATTTCTCATAGTAATTTGAGACCAGACAGTTACAACCAATTCTTTCAAACTTATTGGGAAAGCAGCAATCTCGTTTACGAAACGTTCGGCCCACTTTTTCCTATCGCTTTTCTCCAGCAAAGCAAGTTGAAATTGTTATTGTTTTCATTCGATTTTATTGGAATTGTTTTCATTTAGTTAAGTGTAGTAGACGTTCACGTTCCATCCATTTCCCATTCTCGGCAAAAGAAAAATCAATGGAAAATTATACCATAGAGTTTTCAACAGTCATTAAACTATCAGTTTTCATCATTATAATTTGTTATGTATTCATTTAATATTTCTTGTTTTTTATTCAAAATCTTGTAAAGTAAGTTGAAATTGTTATTGTTTTTATCCATTTTCCATTTTCAGGAAAGAAAAATCAATGGAAACTTATACCACAGAGTTTTCATTAAACAGTCATTAAACTATCAGATATTAATAATATTTGATTAATATTTAAAGGTTTTTATTCAAAATCTTGTAAAGTAAGTTGAAATTGTTATTGTTTTTATCCATTTCCCATTTTCAGGAAAGAAAAATCAATAGAAAATTATACCATAGAGTTTTCAACAGTCATTAAACTATCAGATTCCATCATTACAATTTGTTATGTATTCATTTAATATTTCTTGTTTTTTATTCAAAATCTTGTAAAGTAAGTTGAAATTGTTATTGTTTTTATCCATTTTCCATTTTCAGGAAAGAAAAATCAATGGAAACTTTTACTACAGAGTTTTCAGCAGTCATTAAACTATCAGATATTAATAATATATGATTAATATTTCCTGTTTTTTATTCAAAATCTTGTAAAGTAAGTTGAAATTGTTATTGTTTTTATCCATTTCCCATTTTCAGGAAAGAAAAATCAATGGAAACTTATACCACAGAGTTTTCAGCAGTCATTAAACTATCAGATATTAATAATATTAGATTAATATTTCCTGTTTTTTATATAAAATCTTGTAAATTAAGTCGAAATTGTTATTGTTTTCATTTAGTTAAGTGTAGTAGACGTTCACGTTCCATCCATTTCCCATTCTTAGCAAAAGAAAAATCAATGGAAAATTATACCATAGAGTTTTCAGCAGTCATTAAACTATCAGATATTAATAATATTTGATTAATATTTCCTGTTTTTTTATATAAAATCTTGTAAAGTAAGTTGAAATTGTTATTGGTTTCATTTAGTTAAGTGTAGTAGATGTGTATCCAAATAGGTCTCAATCCATTTCTCATTTTCAGGAAAGAAAAATCAATGGAAAATTATACCATAAAGTTTTCAGCAGTCATTAAACTATCAGATATTAATAATATTAGA